AGGAACTTTTTACCTTTTGTTTCTATACTTAAGAGTTTTCTTTTGTATTGCTTTGCTTACTTTAAAAAGCTTTTTATAATTTGGTTTTATGCTTTTCTCTTTTGAATAATCTCTAAATTTAGCTCTTTTTACATGTCATAATACTGAGTAGTTTACTATTTTTATAGTATAGTAAAATAGTGAAGTTCACCTGGCTGTTTTTCCACATTGACAGGGCTTCCCATACAAAGTTGAAAGAATAATAGCCTTATTTTTAAAATTAGCCCTGTTGTATAATGATTACATTAAAATATTTGTAAGTTCTAAGTGTACATTTTGATGGGCTTCAACTGATCTATATGATATGTAATTAGCACCACAATCACAAACAATTCCACTTTGCAGGAAGTTCCACTATGACCTTTTTCAGTCAGCCCCTCTGGCTGCTGACAGCCACTGATCTGCTGTACAGATTGATGCAAGATGCCACTGCTTTGCCTTTTCTGAAATTTCACATGAATGGAATCCTATAATATGTAGTTTTCTGTGTTTATTTCACTTAGCATAATGCTTTGATATTCATCCATGTTATTTCGTGTCCCAGTAGTTAATTCCTGTTTATTTCGGAGTAGTATTTAATTGTATGGACAAACTACAATTAGTTTAGCTATTTAACAGGTGAGAAAAATTTGGGTTGTTTCCAGATTGGGGCTACTTTGAGTAAAACTTACTCAAAATGCTATGAACATCTTAGTATAAATCTTTGTGTGAACATATGTTTTCATTTCTCTTGAGGAAAGAGATCTAGGAATGAGATTGCTAGGTTTTTATGCTATGTTTATTTTTAACTTTATAAGAAAGCTGCCAGACTGTTTTCCAAAGGAGATGTACCATTTTGCATTCCCACCAGCAATGGATGAGAGGGTTCCATCTGCTCCATGACTTTGCTAACACTTGGTATTGTTGATTTTTAATTTTAGCCATTCTAGTGAATGTATAGTGGTACCTCATTATGGCTTTAATTTGTTTTTCCCTAATGGTTAATGATGCTGAGCATCTTTTCATATATATATTTGCCATTCATGTGTCTTCTTTGGTAAAGTGTTTATTCACAGTTTTTGTACAGTTTTTTCATTTTTTTATTGGGTTGGTTGTCATCTTGCTTACTTGTAAGTATCCTTTACTGTGGACATAATTTATCAAATCAGAGTTTTGCTGTATACTTAAGTGAAGTATAGAGTTTTGCTCTGATTTGGTAACAGAACAAAATTGATAAAATTTTATCAATTTGTTATTTTATGGATCATGCTTTTTAATACCTCATCTAAAAATGTTTGCCTAACTCATAGTAACTAAGACATTCTCTATGTTTTCTTCTAGAAGTTTTATAGTTTTAACTTTTGTGATCTATTTGAGGTAATTTTTATATATGAGTTGAGGCAGGGGTCAAGGTTCATTTTCTACATATGGGTATCCAGTTGTTCTAGCACTGCCCTTGGAAAAGACTATTCATTACCCATTGAATTACATTGGCAACTCTGTTAAAAGTCAATCATATATGTATGTGTCAGTCTGTTTCTGAAACTCTCTATTCTGTTCTATTGATTTATATGTCTGTTTTTATACCAGTACCAACTGTCCTGATTACTGTGATTTTTACAGTGAGCCTGGAAATTAACAGTATAAATCCTCCAGCTTCATTCTTCTTAAAATTGTCATTTACATGTCCATATACATTTTAGAATCAACTTGTCAATTTCTTTAAAAAAAAAAAAAAAAAAAACCTGCTAGAATTTGAGTTGGGGCTGTCCTGAATCCAGAGAGAGAATGGACATTTTAGGAATTTTGAGTCATCTAATCTGGAAACATGGTATAGTCCTTCATTACAAGTCTCCTTATATTCTGTTAAGTTTCTTTCATAAGTATTTAAAAATTAGCTGTCTCATAAAAAAGAAAAACAATTTCATTTTTCAGTGTTCCTCACTAGTATGTAGAAATACAGGTTTCTTTTCTTCTACGATATTTATCTTAGAAATGAAAAAAAGAAATACAGGTAATTTTCATGTATCTACTTTATGTCCTGTGACTTTGCTCAACTAAAATCCTTAGGATTTTCTACCTAGACAATCATATTATCTGTGAATAAAGGTTTTACTTTTTCCCTTGTAATCTGAATGCATTTTCTTTCCTTCTTTTTCTTATTTTATTGAACTAGCTAGTATCTTCAGTACAATGTTGAATATTAGTAGTGAGAGCAGACCTTTTTGCCTTATTCCGAACCTTGGGGTGAAAAAAGTCTTTCAGCAGTAAATATGGTGTTACCTGTAGGTTTCTTTCTCATCAGTCATTTCTATCAGGTTGAGGAAGTTCCCTTCTACTCCTAATTTGCTGAAAGTTTTTGAAATAATGATTGGGTATTGAACATCATCAGGTGGATTTCTTGCATCTTTTGAGATGATTGTCTGGTTTTCCTTCTTGTAAGTCTGTTAAAATGGTGAAATACATTGATTTTTTTCAAATGGTTAATCTTCCATTCCTGGGATAAACCCTACTTTTTTCTATATTACTTTTTTTGTGTGTTGCTGAATTTGGTTTGCTAATATTCTGTGAATGGTTTTTTTGTTTGTTTGTTTTCTTTTTTGAGACAGAGTCTCACTCTGTCACCCAGGCTGGAGTGCAGTGCCATGATCTCAGCTCACTGTAACCTCCACCTCCCAAGTTCAAGCAATTCTCCTGCCGCAGCCTCCCAAGTAGCTGGGATTACAGGTGCCCACCACCTTGCATGGCTAATTTTTGTATTTTTAGTAGAGACGAGGTTTCACCATGTTGGCCAGGCTGGTCTTGAACTTCTGGCCTCAAGTGATCCACCCACCTCAGCCTCCTAAAGTGTGGGGATTACAGGCGGGAGCCACTGCGCCTGGCCCTGTGAAGGTTTTAAGTGTCCTTGTTCAAGAGGGATCTTTATCTGTACTGTATGACTGGTTTTGGTATTAGAGTAATGGTGACATTATACAATTAGTTAATGTTTCTTTTTCTTTTATTTTCTGACATACAGTTTATGTAATTTCTTTAACTATGATAGAATTTAACTATAATGGAATTTAATCCATCTGGAAATGGAGTTTTTGTGGGAAGGTTTCAAGCTATAAATGCTGTTTATATGGCTATTTAGGTTATCTGTTTCTTCTAGAGTAAGCTTAATTAATCTTTCAAGAAGTTTCTCCATTTCATCTAAGTTGTTTAACTCATTGATATGAGAGTCACAAGTGATCTACCTGCCTGGGCCTCCCAAAGTGTTGAGATTATAGGCGTGAGCCACCACACCAAGCCTGGGTTTTAATTTGGATTTTCTTTTATAGTTTTTTTGTTTGTTTGTTTGTTTGTTTTTGAGACGGAGTTTCACTCATGTTACCCAGGCTGGAGTGCAATGGCACGATCTCGGCTCACCGCAACCTCCGCCTCCTGGGTTCAGGCAATTCTCCTGCTTCAGCCTCCTGAGTAGCTGGGATTACAGGCACACACCACCATGCCCAGCTAATTTTTTGTAGTTTTAGTAGAGACGGGGTTTCACCATGTTGACCAGGATGGTCTCGATCTCTTGACCTCGTGATCCACCCACCTTGGCCTCCCAAAGTGCTGGGATTACAGGCTTGAGCCACCGTGCCCGGCCTGTTTGTTTGTTTTTAGACAGGGTCTCACTTAGTCACCCAGGCTGGAGTGGCATGATTATGGCTTATTGCAGCCTCAACCTCTCGGGCTCAAGTGATTCTTCCACCACAGTCTCTCAAGTAGCTGGACTACAGATGTGTGCCAACACACCTGGCTAATTTTTAAATTTTTTGTAAAGATGGGGTCTTGCCATGTTGCCCAGGCTGATCTTGAACTCCTGGGCTCAAACAGTCCTCCCACTTAGGCCTCCCAGAGTACTGGCATTACAAGCATGAGCCATTACACTTGGCCTTCCTTTTCTAGTTTCTTAATTTAGAAGCTTAGGTTATGGATTTTAGACTTTAAAAAATTTTTCTTATTGAAATATTTTAATACTACAAATGTCCTTTTAAGTACTGCTTTAGTTCTATCATCACAGAAATTTTGGTAAATTTTATTTTCATTTTCCTTTAAGTTCAAAATGTTTTGTGATTGTAATTGTCCTTTCTTCTTTGACCCATAAAGCTGTTTAATTTATGATTTTGTAGGATTTTTTGGACACTATTTATCATTGGTTTCTATTTTAATTTCACTGTAGTTAGAGAATTTGTTGAGGCTTGTTTTAGAGCACAGAATATGATCTGTTTACATGTTTCATTAATTAGACCTGAGTGGTAATAATAGTTATTCATACCTCATTATAGGTGAGTCTATATCTGGAATATATAAATAAATACCCAAAAGTTAGTGATTACTACACTGTGCTCTTCTATATTTAAACTTTTTCTTTCTTTCTTCCTCATATGCATTACATTAAATAATTGCTGAAGCCCTTTCTTTCTTGCTCTAAGAACTCTGAATCTTTAGGATATAAAACTAAATTCCATATTCTACAGAATTTATACCCTTTCCAGCTTTGAGAACCCTGATTAGTAAAAGTCCAAAACTAACTTTTATGTTCTGTAAATTTTTCGAATTCTTGCAGGGACGGAAGAAGTCTATAGTGGCTGTGGAGCCCAGGAGTCTTATTCAAGGAGCTTTTCAAGGCTGCTCAGTGTCTGGGATGACACTGAAATACATGTATGGGGTAAATGCCTGGAAGAACTGGGTTCAGTGGAAAAACGCCAAGGAAGAGCAGGGGGATCTAAAATGTGGAGGTGAGTGCACAGCATGAATTGTGTCTTGATTTAGGTAGGGGAAATATACAGATAATCTACTGAAAAGGGATACATTTTAGGTCAAAAGCCCCATAAAACTGGTTTGGGCTATACGTAACTTTTTCTGCATTTTTATTTAAACTTCACATTTATGTTTCTCTCCCTGTCAGGGGTTGAACCTGCCTCATCTAGCCCATGTTCTGACCCCTTAGGAAGTACTCAAGACCATGCACTCTCTCAAGAATCCTCAGAGCCAGGATGTAGAGGTAAAATTTGTTTCTTTCTATTTGGTATAAATTATTTGTATTATTATTGCTGTTTTAAATTTGTAAATTGAATGTTTAAAATTATTTAAAATTTGGAGTCTTAAGGTTAGAAAGAGAAATTCACCTTATCCCCCGTTTTAAGGATGTTGAGGGTAAGGTTACGTCTTCTGATCTTGAGTTTATTATGCAAATATAAGGAATTTTATTTCATTTTTGACACTGTGCAAGTGCCTCAAAATAGTCTTCTTGAGCCCTGTGTCTGCATAGTAATCCATGTGGGCCTCAGTGTTGCTGTTTTTTTAAGAAAATACCTGGAAACTGTAGGAGTTTTTCCTTACAGTGAGATCTATATAACTGACCATGTTTGTGAGTTTCACTTCACTTCAGCTGTCAGGAAATTTAGGATTATATGAACCCTTCAAATAAAGCATCAGTTTATAATTTTAAGGCCCACGTTAGTTTTCATTTTTCACGACTTTTGACACCCTATTCTAAGTTTTTGTTTCACTTTATCTTTCGCTTTTTCTTTGTGTTTTATGTAAGATACTTGTACAATCTTTATTGAATGAGCTGGGGCAGAATGGATGAGTATGTCCATGTAACTTGATTTATTCCCCTTTCCAACTATACCTTCTTTTTGTCTTATACCTAGATGATTGTATGCACTCTTGGCTTCGCTGCAGTCTATCCTGTTGGTTTTGGGGCACATGTAACTGTTCTTATTAGAGCACTTAGTTGCTGCTGTGGGTTGTGACTAACTCATTGAGTTTCTGTAGATCAAGTGTAATCTGTTTGCTCCAAGGCTGTGCAAATGTACTCCTGTTGTGGAGATTTAGTAGGCCATTAACCACCTAGTAGCGTGTTTTAAGTTAAAAAAGCAACCTGCTGGGTGCAGTGGCTCGTACCTGTAATTCCAGCACTGTAGGAGGCTAAGGCAGGAGGATCTTTTGAGCCCAGAAGTTCTGAGGCTGCAGAGAGCTGTGATTGCACCACTGCACTCCAGCCTGAGCATCAGAGTGAGACCCTGTCTCTAAAAAAAATAAAAATAAAACCAAAAAAGTGGGGGAAGGGTGATAGTGGAAAGGGAGAGGTAATACAGCTTTAGACTACTAAGCGTAAACGCAAAAAAAAAAAAAAAAAATGCAGTTGTTGTAGGGGATGGCAACCCATTTCTGCCACCCTTTCATTGAGAAAATACTTACTGAAGATCTCTTATGTACCAGGTATGATTCTAGGTACTAGGGTGAAAAAGGCAAACGTGGCCTGTGCTCTCATGAAATAACACTTGCTTTAAGTAAAATCAACTCACAGGAGCCCATATGTATGTAATCTTATCTAAATGCAGAAGAGCAATGACTAGAAAGGGTGTTTTAATCTTGGCCCCACAATGTGGATTAACCTGTTGTAGTAGGACCACTACAAATCAAATTGTATAACTCCCTTGCTCAAAATTAATTCAGTTCATTGTCTGCAAAACTTTAATATGAGAAATGAGGCTGATTGTGATCTGCCCCCGCTTGCCCTTCCTCCCTTGTCCTGTACACCTAAGTCCCTGAACCTTTTCAACCTGTGACCTACAAAGGGAATAATGTATTCTAGGATTTCCAAAGGCAAGAGGCTGTTATTCATTATTTGACGTGTTCTGTATTCAAACACGAGCTGAGGAAAGTTAAACAGCTTTCTTTTTTGCAGGTATACTCAGAGCCTTTAATGTAACATTAAGCACTGTGAATTCTTCAGAGACAAATAGAGTATCTTGTGTTTTCTGAATTTATCAGATCGTAGAAACTCAGTATTCTCCGGCTCTCACATAAGACTAGTGTTTTGTGGACTATACTTTGGGAAGCCTTTTTGTGTATCCTCAGATTGGAATTCTTAACCTATCTTAACCTGTTTAATACTTCCTCACCTTTTAAGGTCTACTTTAGTGATGCATTTTTCAGAATCTAACCTGACTCTTCCCTATTGGATAGCCCTCATTTGCTTTCATAGATTGCCATTTAAGGAAAACCTCTATTATAGCATGTATTGTACCATATGCACATGTCTTTATTTCCCTAACTTAAGTAGACTTGAGATCAGAATCTGTCTTTAATATCCACTAGTCTGCACCACAGTGCCTAGGGCACAGTAGTATTCAATGTTTATTCAGTTAATCAAGTAATGCTACTATGTTTGTTATAAAAGTTAATGTATGAGATGTTTTCTACCTTTCCACAGTCCGCTCTATCAAGCTGAAGGAAGATATTCTGTCCTGCACTTTTGCCGAGTTGAGTTTGGGCTTATGCCAGTTTATCCAAGAGGTGCGGAGACCAAATGGTGAAAAATATGATCCAGACAGTATCTTATACTTGTGCCTTGGAATTCAACAGGTATCAAGTTAAACATATGGATTCCTCAACCTAGCAAATCCATTGACCAGAATATGTCCCCACAGAAATTACATGCACATGTACACACCCAGATATATACTGGTATTTTCATTGTAACATTGTTTTTAACAACAAATTGGAAACCATCCAAGTATTAATCAAGCTTTATGGATCAGTCAACTATAATATGTCCATATTGTGGAATACTATAAAATAGTTAAAAAGGAATGGCTTGCTTCTGTATTTATTGGCCTAGAAAATTCTTAGAGGCATGTATTTTAAAAAGTAACTTGCAGGGCCAGGTGTGGTGGCTCACACCTGTATTCCTAGCACTTTGGGAGGCCGAGATGGGAGTATCACTTGAGGCCAGAGATTCAAGACCAGCCTGGGCAACATAGGAAGACACTGTCTCTATAAAAACTAAAAAATTAGCCAGGCATGGTGATGTATGCCTCCAGTCCCAGCTACTCAGAAGGCTGAGGCAGGAGGATCATTTGAGCCCAGGAGTTTGAGGCTGCAGTAGGCCGTTGGTGCTCCAGCCTAGGTGGCAGAGTGAGACCCTGCCTGAGGAAAAACAACAAAAAAAGTAACTTGCAGAATTATATATACAGTGTGATATTTATCTGTTTATGTTATGGGAAAATACGCATAACATAAAATTTACCATTTTAAAGTTTACAGTTCAGTAGGACTAATAGGTACATTCTTGATGTGCAGTCATCACCACTGTCTTGTTCTATAACGTTATGACTTCAAAGGGAAACCTCAAACCCATTTAGTAGTCACTCCGCATTACTCCCTCCACCCATCCTTGGCAACTGTCAGTCTGCTTTCTGTCTCTCTGAACTTGCCTATTCTGGATGTTTCGTCTCAGTGGATTCGTATACTATATGACCCTTTGTATCTGGTTTCTTTCACTTAGCATTATGTTTTCAAGGTTTATCCATGTTGTAGCATGAATCAGTACAGCATTTCTTTTTATGGCTGAATAATATTCTATCATATGGATATCCCACATCTTGTTTATCCATTCATCCACTGATGGACCTTTGAGGTTCCACCTTTTAGTGATTGCAAATAATACTGCTGTGAAGATTCATATGTAGGTTTTTGTTTGAACACCTGTTTTCAATTCTTTTGCCATATATGCTTAGGAGTAGAATTGCTGAGTCTTGTAACTATGACTGAGTTGTTGAGGAACCACCAAACTGTTTTTCAAAGTGGCAGCACCATTTTACATTTCCATCACCAGTATATGAAGATTTCAGTATCTCCACATTCTTGCTAACATTTGTTAATTTCTGTGTGTTTTTTTTGGTGGTGGTTTTTTTTTTAAACAACAGCCATCCTGGTGGGTATGAAATGATACCTCACTGTTTTTAATTCGCATTTCTCTAACGACATTGGGTATCTTTTCATGTACTTTTTGACCACACGTATATCTTCTTTGGAGAAATGTCTATTTAAGTCCTGTCTTAGTCTGTTTGCACTGTCATGGGGGAGTACCTGAGGCTGGGTAATTTATAAAGAAATTATCATGCAGAATCATGGCTCATGGTTCTGCAGGCTGTACAAGAAACATGGCACCAGCATCTGCTTCTGGTGAGGGCTTCAGGAAGCTTCCAGTCATAGCATCTATGATCACAGCAGAAGGTGAAGGAGGAGCAGGCGTCTCATGGCAAGAGAGTGAGGACGAGGTGACAGGCTCTTTTTAACAATCAGATCTCATAGTAACTAATAGAAGGAGAACTTCATTACTGGGAGGAGGGTATCAAGCCAGCCATGAGAGATCTGCATCCATATCCCAAATACCTCCCACCAGGCCCCATTTCCAACATTAGGGATCAAATCTCAACATGAGGCTTGGAAGGGACAAGTATCTAAGCTATATCAAGTACTTTGCCTGTTTTTTAAATTGTATTGTTTGTCTTTTTGTCATTGAGATGTAGAAACTCTATATTCTAGATATTAAACTTTTATCAGATAATATGATTTGCAAATATTTTCTCCCATTCGCTGGATTTTCTTTTCACTTTCTTGGTGTAGTGTACTTTGAATCACAAATTATTTTTATTTTAATGAAGTTCAGTTTCTTTTTTGTTCTTCCTTTTCTTTTCCTTTCTCTTTTCTTTTCATAGCCTGTGCTTTTGGTATTATAGCTAGGAATCCATTGCCACATTCAAGGACATGAAGATTTAACCCTCTTCTTTTCAGAGAGTTTTATGATTTTAGCTCTCATAATTAGGTCGTTGAACTATTTTGAGTTCATTTTTGTATCTGGTATGAGCTAAGGTCTACCTTCATTCTTTTATATATGGATATCTAGTTCTTTGAGCTCCATTTGTTGAAGAGACTGTTCTTTACCCATTGAATGGGCTTGATACCCTTGTAGAAAATCTTTTGACCAAATATAGATGGGTTTAATTTGGACTCTTAGTTCTAATCCATTTGTCTATAGATGGCTATTCTTAGCGCAGTACACAGTTTTGAAACTTATACTATAGCTTTGTAGTAAGTTTTGAAATCAGGTTCCTCAAAATTCTTTTGGCTATTCAAGATCCTTTGAAATTCTATGTGAATTTTAGGATGGGTTTTCAATTTCTGCAAAAAGCTGTTGGATTTTGATATGATTGCAGTTAATCTGTAAATTGATTTGGAGGATATTGCCATTTTAACAGTATTAAATCTTCTGATCTGTGAATATAGGATGTCTTTCCATTTATTTAGTTGTTCTTTAATTTTTGCTTTCAGCAGTTTTTTGTGGTTTTAAGTGTATAAGTTTTAACATTATTTTAGTTACATTTCTTCTCAAATATTATTCTTTTTGGTGCTTTGGTAAATGGGACTTTTTAAATTTTCTGTTTGGATTGTTCATGCTAGCTTGAAATACAACTGATTCTTGTGTGTTGCTTATATGCTGCAACTTGGCTAAATTCACTTATTAGCTCTAATAATTCATTTTTCTATGCATTCTCTGGGATTTTCTATATGTAGGATTCTGTTACCTGCAACTGGAGATAGTTTTACTTCTCCCTTTCCTATCTGAATGCTCTATATTAGTTTGTCTTGCCTGGCTGCTCTGGCTAGGACTTATAGTACAGTGTTGAAGGAGAATGTCAAGGATAGGCATTCTTGTCTTGTTCCTAGTTAAGGGGGAAGAGGTTTTTTTTTAAAACAACATGTATTTTATATGTACTGATATATTGCTGTAACTGTACAAAACCCACCCCTGTATAAAGAAATTTTTTAAGGGTTGGAAATATTTTTGCATATGAATAGTAGTTGACTTTGTGTGATGAGTTTGTATAGTCTACTTTTCCTGTATTTTGAACTTTTTCAATAATGAAGATATATTTTTAAGCTTGAAAGTGACTATATTAAAAGAAGAAAAAGAATTACTGTTCAACAACAAACTGCAATCTGGCAATAAGATCATAAATTGCCTTTGAGGAGGCCTCATAAAAATACCTATTGAAGTGGTAATTTTTACTAGCCAGAATAAATTAAAATGGAAGTAATTATCTCCAAATCATACATAGATAGAAATGCAAGAAACCAAGATAGCCTTGGAAATATAAATTAAAAATGCTAAATCTTAAAAACACCAAAAAATTATATCATGTAATTACACACTGCCTTTTATTCTATTACCACTTATGGTATGTCCCTATTCCAATTGATTTTATTTGACCTGCACCATCAGTACTTTTTAAAAGAGACAGGGTCTTGCTGTGTTGCCCATGCTGGAGTGCAGTGAGATGATCATAGCTCATATCATAACTGCAGTCTCAGACTCCTAGGTTCAAACGACCCTCCTGCCTCCGACTCCCAAGCAGTTAGGACTACAGGCATGCACCACCACCCCTGGCTATTTGTTTTAAATTTTTTGTAGAGATGGGTCTCACTATGTTGCCCAGGCTAGTCTTGCGCTGCTGACCTCAAGTGATCCTCTCACCTTGGCCTCCCAAAGCCCTGGGATTACCATTCCTGGCTCAATGCATTTTTTTTTTTTTTTTTTTTTTTTGAGATGGAGTTTCGCTCTTGTTACCCAGGCTGGAGTGCAATGGCGCGATCTCGGCTCACCACAACCTCCGCCTCCTGTGTTCAGGCAATTCTCCTGCCTCAGCCTCCTGAGTAGCTGGGACTACAGGCACGCGCCACCATGCCCAGCTGATTTTTTTTGTAGTTTTAGTAGAGACGGGGTTTCACCGTGTTGACCAGGATGGTCTCGATCTCTTGACCTCGCGATCCACCCGCCTCGGCCTCCCAAAGTGTTGGGATTACAGGCGTGAGCCACCGCGCCCGGCCAGGCTCAATGCATTTTTAAACTGTAGCTATTCTTTTTGTTCTATCCTATGATATGGTTGTTGGTGGTTATAATTAACATAGTTTAATGTCCTATAATTAGACTTGAACTTTTTGGACTTTTTTGATGGTTGTGGGGCAGAGAGTTGAGAGCCGTAGTTAGAAGGCTCCAAGTAAATAGTTTATAAGTTTGGGTTTCCCCAGGTCAACTGACATTAGCTAACTGTATTATTGCAAGAAATGATCTTGTTGTATCTGGGTAAAAAACAAAAGAGCACATCTGCAGATACACATTATGAAACAGGGAAAACATGATTGGGACATGTACATTGGAGCCAATTTTTAGTATGTCAGTTTTAGGAATTAAGTAAAGGGTTTTTTATACTACTTTGTACCATCCGTGTTTTAAAAAGGAAATAAAAAACTACCTTGCAAGGTCAGTGCCGAAGGCAGTGTGTTAACATGAAAAGGACCGTTAGCTTGAATTCTGATGTTTTAACAGCTATCTCTAAAGTACTGAGAGGTTGAACATGGTTTATAATATTGTAAGGGCAAAAATTAAGGGTAAACTGTATTTCTTACAGTAATTTTCTAAGAACTCATGTTTTTATCAACATGTATATTTTCTTTTTTTTTCTTGTAGTACCTGTTTGAAAATGGTAGAATAGATAACATTTTTACTGAGCCCTATTCCAGATTTATGATTGAACTTACCAAACTCTTGAAAATATGGGAACCTACAATACTTCCTAATGGTAGGGTGATTTTTTTTTGTTGTTTTCATGATGTGCTTTCTTAAATTGCTTAAGTTTTATGGTTATCTTTAAAAAAAGTTGTTTATTTTTATTTCTGTCCATATTTATAGTATATTTTGGCTTCTGAGGAGAAGGTCTTTGGTTTATTGTTGATTGTTTTAGGAAAACTGTAAATTTCATATAGTACATGTATACTAATTACAGAAAATGTAAATGAATTTGAAGTTACATTTAACTTTTTAGAAACCATTTTTGATCTGGTAGCAGTGGTGTAGCTTTCACATATCATATCTGTTAACAGTGGACCTTTTTCAGTAGTTTGTATGTATACTGAACTGTTGTTAAGAGATTTAAGTCCTCGTTCTTGATTATCTTTGACCATATGTCATTAGACAAATCCGTAATTCACTCCAGGTCTCAGGCCGAAGTGAAAGCAGAGGTTTGGTGTTATGCTCAGTAATGTGCGCACCTTTCTCTTGGGCTGCAGAGCACCTTTGAAGAATTCTGAGCAACAGGGTGGTTTCATGCATTTAGCATTCAGAGAGGGGACCAGGGACAAAGGTTTGCAATAATTAAGTCATGTTTATGGATAATCTCCCAAGAGTAGAATGCAGAAGCAGCAACAGAGGACTGAGGAGAGAACAGTAGGAAAGAACTATGTTTAAGGGGCATCATGAGGAAGGTGCGATTAAGGTCCACTTATTTTCATTCTTCCTTAAGACCTTTGCTTTTCAAGAAAAATCCCAGGTGAGTCATCAGGAAGTGATCCCTCTTAATTAAAATTAAAAATTAAGGTGGGAAGAGTGGGAGGGGAGGGAGGGAGTTGTCTGCCTTTTAATAATCTTGACTAAATGAGACTGAACTACTTAACAGTAAGTTTAACGATCTCCAGCGGGAGTTTGCAAACTGTGGTCCATGGCCAAACATGGCCTGCTCCCTGGTTTGCAATCCATGAGCTAAAAATTGTTTTTACATTTTAAAATATTTGGGGGAATTTTTTTTTAAGAATTAATACTTTGTCATGTGAAAATTAGGTTGAATTCATAGCTGGGCATGGTGACTCACACCTGTAGTCCCAGGTGTGACTTTGGGAGGCTGACGCAGGAGGATCACTTGAGCCCAAGGGTTCAGTTCAGCCTGGGCAACATAGTGAAACCCTGTCTCTACAAAAAATCCAAAAAATTGGCTGGGCATGGTGGTGGTGGTGCTTGTAGTTCCAGCTGCTCAGGAAACCGAGGTGGGAGAAGCACCTGAGCCCAGGACTTTGAGGCTGCAGTGACCCCTGATTGTGCCACTGCCCTCCAGCCTGGGCGACAGAGTGAGAACCTGTCTCAAAATAAATAAATAAAATTATATGAAATTCAGATTTGCCTATAAATAAACTTTACTGGCATATAGCTCTGCCTGTTTGTTTTATGTGTCCTCTATGGCTCCTTAGTTTCTATAGCAACAGCATTGTTCAGAGCCTATATGGCTTACAGATTCCAAAATACTTACTTTCTGGCCCTTTTGAAAGCTTAACAACCCCTAATCTAAAATATCAATAGATTAAAACTGTTTCAGGAGACTCTCATGATGTCTGCTTGAGTGGAATCATCTGCCTTTTTCTTTGTGGTTCCTTTTCTAGTTTTCTGCATAAGGAAGAGGGGACAGAGGAACAATCCGTCTTTCTCTTTATATCTCCGTGTCCTAGAATTTGAGAGATTACTTAGTCGTCTTTAGCAGGAGCTCAGTACTGTTTCTTGTACCCCTTCTTCTGTCTAGGTTACATGTTCTCTCGCATTGAAGAAGAGCATTTGTGGGAGTGCAAACAGCTGGGCGCTTACTCACCAATCGTCCTTTTAAACACCCTCCTTTTCTTCAATACCAAATACTTCCAACTAAAGAATGTTACTGAGCACTTGAAGCTTTCCTTTGCCCATGTGATGAGACGGACCAGGACTCTGAAGTACAGTACCAAGATGACATATCTGAGGTTCTTCCCACCTCTACAGAAGCAGGAGTCAGAACCAGGTATGAGATGGTGTTTGTCAGATTTCTCTTTGAAGTCTTAGTAGTGGTAATAAAATAGTTACTGCAGAAAGGTAATTACAAATTCTAGAGGTGGAAGAGTGTAGCTTTATTGTTAACATTTGAATATTTTTCTCTATTGTCAAAGGCTGGCCTCAAAAGGAGAGGAATCATGTTTCAATATACTTTCATTGGCTTTTAAATTAGAAACTTTTATTTAATTAGGTAGAGCTCAAGTAGCCTGCATTTTAAAACTTCTCAGGGAATTTAAATATGCAACCAGGGTTGAGAATCACTGATTTACAAACAGCAGATGAATCAACCACTAGTTAAAAGAAACCTACATAATTTTTAGTCCATTGTTTTGAAATCTTTTTTTGACCAGAACCCCTAGGTTTATTGTCTTGCATTTCAAAAACAGCCTATTAAATAACAGTTTTTAATCTTTAAAAAATCTTGGTATTATAGGATTAGAAATCAAATTTATTATTTTTGAACAGAATCATAAGTCATGAACTTACCCAAATTAATTTCTAAAAGTAGAACATATTTTTTTGAATGTGAGAATTTAAATCACTAAAATAAAATCTGTATTTGTGATGTTCAACTTTGTATAAACTTGTTTCTGAGTTGTTCCTTTACTAAGATTATCTTTTTCACCTAGTGTCTTATGTCCTGTTTCCTTAGTTTTATATATATATGTAACCCACTTTGTGTTCTCAATTGATTTGTTTTTTTCTTTTTTGAGACGGAGTCTCACCCTGTCACCCAGTGTGATGGCACAGTCTTGGCTCACTGCAACCTTCACCTCCCATGTTCAAGCGATTTTCCTGCTTCAGCCTCCTTAGTAGCTGGGACTACAGGCATGTGCTACCACACCTGGCTAATTTTTGTACTTTTAGTAGAGACAGGGTTTCACCATGTTGGCCAGGCTGGTCTCTAACTCCTGACCTCAGGTGATCCTCCCCACTCAGCCTCTCAAAGTACTGGGATTACAGGCATGAGCCACCACACCTGGCCTCAATTGATATGAACTGGGGGAGGGAAAGGCAGGTGGATAATATTTCCCTGTTTGCTGATTAGGTGCTTGACAACATTAGTAATGAATTCAGCTTGTTTTCTAAGTGACTAGCAAAGTCTTTTTACTTAGTTAGCTTCTAAATAGAAAACTGGGGTGAATTTTGTTAAGGTAATAATGCAAGAAGCTGGAGAAAGTCCTATGCCAGTTGTTAAGAGCAGCTATAGGCTGAGTGCAGTGGCTTATACTTGTAATCCCAATATTTTGGGAGGTTCATGCAGGAGAATCGGTTGACCCTGGGGGTTTGAGGCTGTAGTGAACTGCGTTGGAGCCACTGCACTCTAGCCTGGGCAACAGAGCAAGACCCTGTCTCCCCTCAAAAAAGTCAGGTTCAGAATAGAGACATTCTCCAATGCCATATTTTTTGTCATGGTGCGCCCACTTTGGTGAGCAGCAGAAAATAAAATTCATAGGATAGGGACATTGTTTAATGCCATAAAACCCAGCACTTAAAATAATGCCTGACACCTCCATAGGCACTCAGTGTTGGCTGAATGAGTGTGAGTGAGTGAAGGGGAGGGAATGAGAAAGTTTCGGCTGCAAAGCAAAGCTCATTGGTTTTTTGAGACTCAAAAGAGTAGACTTCTCTAATATAATCCTTTGATGATTATTTCTTGTCTCAAGATAAACTGACTGTTGGCAAGAGGAAACGAAATGAAGATGATGAGGTTCCAGCGGGGGTGGAGATGGCAGAGAATACTGACAACCCACTCAGATGCCCAGTCCGACTTTATGAGTTTTACCTGTCAAAATGGTAATCTTTCTCTGAACTAAATATAGTGCGCTCAGAAGGCAGTTAACATATTTTGGATTTCAGATGCTTGAACATAGAAAAGTAGCTGGCCTGTGACTTTAGACAAGGATTTACCAGGATTTTCCCCCCATCGTCATATCTGTGTGGATTTTGAACCACAAAACAAATTACCTTGTCTTCATAATTATTTTATGAAAATTTTTTCAGAAGCGAGAATTGCTGCTATTGTTTGATCTTTACAACTGTTGTACAACCTTTATGTGATATCTAATCTGTAGTTTGTTATTTGTATAGAAAAGAAATTTTACTTTGCCAAAGCTACAATAGAAAAACAATTTTTAAGGAATTGAAATTTTCTAAGTAGTCCTTTTCTTAGAAAAACTTTGTGATTTTAGAGTTGTTAAGATTTACACTAAAGCACTTTTTTCTGAAAAGAAATGTAATAGCTGCATTTGCCTGTTGATAATGTGTATTGAGTGCCCTTGGGGTTCATTCCAGGGTATTGGGCACTTCCGATATGTGGTTCTTAGCCATAGTGTCATACGTGAGTTGACTTTTTTGTTGCTCTTAATAATGTTTGAAGTACTAAAGTTTGTGATTTATACCTTGTCTTATATTAACTTTATACTTCCAATCCAATGTGATCTCAGCTTATTCCTGGGAGGAAATCTTCCTGTAAACCTGTTTATCCTTGTGGGTACATTGCTCTCCCCATTGTGAGTGACAGTGGAGAAAAGTTGAGAGCTATATTAGGTTGGTGCAAAAGTAATTGCGGTTTTTGCCTCAATTTTTAATTTTTTTTAAATGGCAAAAACCACAGTTTGCTTAAGAATAGTACATGTTTCCTATAGTCTCTGATTTGTAATTTTTTTTCTTTTTTTTCCCCCTGTGGATAGTTCTGAAAGTGTGAAGCAGAGGAATGATGTGTTTTACCTTCAACCTGAGCGCTCCTGTGTCCCGAATAGCCCCATGTGGTATTCCACATTCCCGATAGACCCTGGAACTCTGGACACCATGTTAACACGTATTCTCATGGTGAGGGAGGTACATGAAGAACTTGCCAAAGCCAAATCTGAAGACTCTGATGTTGAATTATCAGATTAAAATGGAAGTGAGGTTCTTATTTTCATACATATTGGTATGCACCAAACTGTGAATGCATCCAGCTGTTGGAAAATGATGTATAAGTCCAAGTCCTCTTGACTTGACTATAAGATCATGGAAAACAGATGACTTGTGAACCCCACAGTGTGGATGTGCAGATGGAAATTGAAGGAAAGAATATGAACTGAGAAATGTTCTTTGGCAGTGATATAGTTCTTAGACATCTTCAGAATGACTAATTTCTCCGAGTGGTGCATAATCTTATTTTGTTTGGGAGTAACAAATTGTGGAATATTTTTAAGGAAAACTGTTGTATAAAACTCTACCATAGTAACCTTAGACCTTAGAAAGGTAGCTTTGGAATGAAACCCTGGCTGCAATAGGCTACTTGGGCAAGCCCTCCGTAAACGTCAGAGGAGATATCGGTACAGAGCTAAGTGACATCAGATGAGGACTGTGGGACCCAGATTTAAAGACCCAATAAAAATACTCAGCTTTTTAAAACAGATAGTGAAGTGGTCTTGATTGATTTTGATTTTCACTGCCAAGCCAATCATGTGAAGGACAGAAGCTTTTGCCATGGGCCCCTTACATCAGGGAAAATGACCTTCACTGCCGTTAACAGTAATGTGTCCCTTTCATTTTCTGGGTCAAGTTTTCTCAGCGGTGGGTCTGGATGTGGGTAAACTAAGGTAAAGGGGATGATATTCCACAAGCTAGTTACGCACGCAGAAAATCTGTGGAGCCTGTCAGACCCCAGGTGTCTTGAAATGTTTGTAGAAACCCACTAAAATGCCCACTTCTCTGGGTGTGGGCCTGTATTGCTGCTGTCTCACAGCCTGAGCTGTGGCACACAGAAATGGGGGTTCTCTTTTTATTTTCATTTTTTTCCCCAGTGGCAGCTTTTCTCCCATTGTTTTACCTTCCTGTTTCCCAAACAATTCCTCTTATTTTGTCTTTTGCACCAGTTTCTGGAGGCCCTTGTCATTTCAAAAAGAATAGTCTCTTTCCTTACTCTGGCAAACCTGTGAGTGATTCCACAAAGATACAGTATTACTTAGCTATCTGAATTATGGTAGAAAAGGTCCTAGTAGGTTCCTATATAAAGCATTTGGAAGACAACCTTGTTGCCCTATGAAACTTGAAAATAGGGATTCTGGGGTTAGGATACAAAGACATTGTCTTGCATATCCATAAGCAGGTCTTCTGAGAGCGTTATTCCAAACTCTAGCTGTTTTAGTAGTTCTATGAGGATTGCAAGTCATAGGTGTGTATGGCATATCAGTCCATCTCCCTCATCTCTCTTCTGTTTCTTCCCCACAAAATTTTGAATGAAAAGTTTTATGATGTTTGCCAATTTAGCTAAGGTTAATTTGACACTATGATAAAACTGAGAGATGTCAAAAAGCCTCTTAGAAATTTTAATCTTGAAAGACTTTTCAGGTTATCTCATTTTTTAGGAGGGGGTGACAGGTGTATTTTTTTTTTTAACAAATGAAAGGCATTTAAGTAAAATTTTAAAAGTAGGCCTTTTGACATTGTGTACTTGATGGTTCTGTCCCTCTGCCTGTAACAGATCTCATTTTTGTTACCAAGAACTGTATGAAAGAAGTAAATCTGCCCCGATTCTGTATGATTAATTCCATCTGTGTTTGTCATTTCTGACTGGAAAACTTCTTACTTCCATACCGTGTTTGATATGGAGGACAAATAATTGGATTGTCTGATGAGTCTGCCAATAAACTGTCCAGAAACAGCAGGTGTAATAGTCCCCAGCATACGAATTTTACGGTTTGTATAAACACTAACATTTTCCCCTTCTGTAGTTGTATGAAAAAACAAATATTGTTAGCATAGTAGATAAATTGTTACGAAATACCAGAAAGAAAAAAATCTGTATCTTTTCACTGAGAACGGCCAATACCCAGATAAATGACTGTATCAGGATTTCATTTGCATGTTAGTCCACAGAGTTGCCCAGAACCCTAAATTTATTCATAAGAGAAAATATTGATTAATTATTGGTCATTCCTCATAAGTGTAGCTGTTGATGTGTGCGTCTGATTATTGCTTTTTTAATTTCACGAAAATTGTGTAAAATTACATTTTTTTTTCCAGGGGAGAAAAAAACATCAAACAAAAAACATCTAAATCATCCTTTCTGTTCTTTTTTGTTTTTTAACCACTTTTAGGTTTTCCCCTTGCAGAAACCACAGAAATATTCCCTTAGAATAAAATAGTATATTTGTATTTGATGGGTGAGTTCTTTTTCTTTATGTCTTGAAAGAATTTGAAATCTTTTTTTCTGATTGACCTTATTGGTATGACCCAACAGTAAAATGACAGAGGGCAGTTTTCAAGAAAGCAATTTTTTAAAAACATAGTCCAGTAAACATATTCTTTAATTGCAAATTCTTTTGTTTCCTTTTTTTTCATCCAAAGACTTGTTCCCATTTTTGGCTAATTTACTGACTATATTCAAAGTCCCAACAGGTAGAAATATCAGATACCATTTATACATATCATTTCAGGCAAACCTTTTTGAGATTACCAAAGCTTGCATCAGTTCAACTTTAATGAAGTTGTAAGATTAGAATAAAGAATATCTTCATTCTTAAGTATAAAGACATGTTTAAAACGGGAATGTAAGACTAAATAGCATTTTCCTTCAACTTTAGAATTGTCTTGGTATTATGCAGCTGTTCTTTCAGATTCCATAATGGCTTTCTACCTATCTGTCTGTGGCATTCCTAAATTCATAAAACAAGTTTTCCTAAAAAAATCTAATGTAAAATGAATTTCTATCAATGAATCTCTTTTCTTTAAATTCAGACTTTAATTTTCCATATGAATAAAAAGTTCTCCTAGGGTACTGAGTTGAAATTTTAGGAAAGAAGCAATAATACCCTGAACTCCTCTAGACTAGTACTTACCTGTTACCATAGTTTGCTTTCATAATTGAAGACAATAGTGATTGAGAGGCGTTGTTACATAGTAGAAATATCATAGGCTTTGGAGCCTCCTGTTTCTATTTACTGGTTGTATAACTTTAGGTAAATTACTTAACTTCTGTGTGCCTCACTTTTCTCATCTATAAAATGGGCATAACTCTATTATTAAGTTGTGCCTGGCACATGGTAGGCTAATACATGTTAATTCCCACACTACAGTCTGAATTTTCACTAAGTTAAGCACTTTGGATTTTGCAAAACATAATACTCTATATAACTAATTCTACATAGTTGAATCAAATAAAATTACAAATTCTTCACTTGTGCTTAGGGAAGAAATGCATATCAGTAGTAATCAACATCACAAAAATCCATGGATGTTATCACTACATTGAAAAAAGGGGCCAGGTACGGTGGCTCACGCCTGTGATCCCAGCACTTTGGGAGGCCGAGGTGGATGGATCACTTGAGGTCAGATGTTCGAGACTAGTCTGGCTAACATGGTAAAACTCTCTACTAAAAATACAAAAATTAGCTGGGCATGGTGGCAGCGCCTGTAATTCCAGCTCCTCCAGAGGCTGAGGTAGGAAAATCACTTGAACCCAGGAGGCGGAGGTTGCAGTGAGCCAAGATTGTGCCACTGCACTGTCCAGCCTGGGCAACAGAGTGAGACTCCATCTCAAAAAAAAAATGGGGGGGAAGAAATGCATGTATATCAGTATGTTTAGGAAGATCATGTGATAGAGTTTATTAGCTTTTTGGTTTTGTTTGTTTGTTTTTTAAGACAGAGTCTCTGTTGCTCAGGCTGGAGTCCAGTAGCGCTATCTCGGCTCACTGCAACCTCTGCCTCCTAGGTTCTGGCGATTCTTCTGCCTCAGCCTCCTAAGTAGCTGGGATTACAGGTGTATGCCACCACAACAGACTAGTTTTTGTATTTTTAGTAGAGACAGTGTTTTGCCATGTTGGCTAGCTGGTCTTGAACTCCTGACCTCAAGTGATCCACCCACATCGGCCTCCCAAAGTGCTGGGATTACAGATGTGAGCCACCATGGCTGGCCAGTATTTTTCTTTTTTTTTTTTTTTTTTTTTTTTTTTTTTTTTGAGATGGAGTCTCGCTCTGTTGCCCAGGCTGGAGTGCAGTGGCTCTATCTTGGCTCACTGCAGCCTCTGCCTCCCAGGTTCAAGCGATTCTCCTGCCACAGCTTCCTGAGTAGCTGGGACTATAGGTGTGCACAACCGTGCCCAACTAATTTTTGTATTTGATGGGGTTTCACCATGTTGGCCAGGCTGGTCTCGAACTCCTGACCTCAGGTGATCTGTTCACCTCAGCCTCTCAAAGTGCTAAGATTACAGGCATGAGCCACCGCACATGGCCTATCTATATTTCTTTACTTTGCATATGAATGCCAGGTCATAAATTTATTTTTTAATTGGGAGAAAAACACTAAATCAATGAAACATCTTTGACTTGTTTTATATGTCATCAGTTTGGGAACAAGACAACCGTACAACAGCAATCTCCCCATACTTCACTTCATTAACAGAACCGCTCCTTCCCCACAAGTTTTAGCTAAGCAGTGGCTCCCTTAGTAAAAAGCGTATTTTCCAGGCCACCTTGTAATTAGGGGTGACCATAGGATGGCTTTTTGACCAATGGCATGGAAGCAGAAGTGAGTTCACATCTCCCAGGCAACACTCCTGAAAGGAGACGCATGCTGGTCTTGTTTTCCCTTTCCTGTGAACTGGAACATGAATGTGTCATGACAGGTCAGTTTTGTCCATGTGGGAAAGGGCAGCATACCAGAACATTAACCTCACGAACTGAGTCACCTGTCTCTCCTGGTCTGCCTGCTAGCTCAGACCTTTGCATAAGAGAGAAACTTTCCATTTTATTTAAGCCGTTTTTTTTTCTTTGCTCTTTTAGAGTAGTCAAACCGGTATCCTAACTAATACACCCACAATACCCACTGTCATATTACTGCTAAACAGAACTGGAACTTCCGATCATAACAAAAAGATTATCAATACTGGAAGGTGAGAAAACACATTTTATTTGTTGTGGTTTTGTTGTTTTTGAGGCTGAGTTTTGCTCTTGTTGCCCAGGCTGGAGTGCAATGGCGTGATCTCCCCTTATTGCAACCTCCACCTCTCATGTTCAAGCAATTCTGCCTCGGCCTCCTGAGTAGCTGGGATTACAGGCATGTGCCACCATGCCCAGCTAATTATCTATTTTTAGTAGAGACGGGGTCTAACCATGTTGGCCACCTGGTCTGAAACTCCTGACATCAGGTGATCCACCCGCCTCGCCTTTCAAAGTGCTGGGATTACAGGCATGAACATCACGCCTGGCCAAGAAAACACATTTTTAAGTCATTTCCAGATGTTCAAGAACATATATAAGAATGAAAAGAATTAAACTCTTAAATAAGTTCGGCCAGGCAAAGGTTGCAATGAGCTGAGATCGCCCCACTGCACTTCAGCCGGGACGACAGAGAGTGTCAAAAAAACAAAAAATGTTTAGTAATTAATACACAAGACCCTTGTTTATTTTAGTAGATGGTGTTGGGAAACTGGCTTTTTACATGAAAGAAACAGAATCCATCACTAGCATCATGTCCAAAGGTGGACTCTGGATATTGACCTAAGTTGTAATTGTGAAAGGCAAAATTACAAAATTAAGAGAAAACATAGGAGAACATTGTTGTGATCTAGATTAAGGATAAATAAGCTTCTTAAATGAAATCCCCAAAGCACAAACCATATGGGGAAAACAAAAAAGATTGATTTTATTATATAAGAATGTTCAATGAAGGATAGAGAGGACAGGGTGAAAATCCTCGGAATGTTTAAAACCACCAATGGATTTATATCTAAAATATATAAAAAACAGCTGAATCATGAAGATGAACAAAGGATAATGAAAAGATAATTCATAGAAGAACAGCCCAAAAGGATAAGTACAGCAAGAGAGACATTTACAGAGCTATCACTCTACACCCTTAAGATTGACCAAAATGGGAAAAAGAAAATGCCATGTTGTTGGTAGTGTAGGAATGTAAGGCACATTCCTACCCTTACTACACAGGGCAAGAGGAGATGCACACCTGCACACCCATTCTGGAAAGCAATCTTGGACACTGTCATCTTGAGGAAGTTTGATAGCTTTATAGTAAGAGATTCCCGACTCCATTAAGTAAAAGATGAACCTTATCAAATGCCTTTTTTCTGTCTATGTAATCATGTAATTTTTTATCTTTATTCATTCAGCAAATTACATTGGTGGATTTTTCTGATATTGAACAATCCTTGCATTTCCTTGATTAAACCCTAATTGATCATGATGTATGATATAAATAACATTAATACATATATACATACATGTTACATGTATATATGTATACATACGTATATACACACACTATTAGATTAACCATTATCAATAACATTATCTTCTATTCCTAGTTTGCTGTTTTAATTATAAATAAGTTGAATTTATCAAATGCTTTTTTTTTTTTTGCATCCACTGTAATAGTCAAATCTTAATTTTTCTGCCTTGATGATATTGATTTCACTTGCAACCATAGATGCAAAAAAAAAAAAAACCTTAAATATTAGCTAGCCAACCTAGCTGTGTGTATGTATTTCATACAAGTGAAATCTTAATTTTATTTATCTCTTGATTCTGGTGTTTTATTTTGTCCCCTAAGGTGAGGGGAGGCCTTTGCCTTTTTTTTTTTCCCTTTGAGATGGAGTCTGGCTCTGTCGCCAGACTGGAATGCAATGGCGCAATCTTGGCTCACTGCAACCTTTGCCTCCCGGGTTCAAGCAATTCTCCTGCCTCAACTTCCCCAGTAGCGAGTAGCTGGGACTACAAGCATGTGCCACCATGCCCAGCTAATTTTTGTTTTATTTATTTTATATATATGTATCTTTTGAGACGGAGTCTTGCTCAGTTACCCGGGCTGGAGTGTAGTGGCCCAATCTCAGAGGCTCACTGCAACCTCTGCCTCCCGGCTTCAAGCGATTCATCTACCTCAGCTTCCTGAGTAGCTAGGGCTACAGGCGCCCGCCACCATATACGGCTAATTTTTGTATTTTTAGTAGAGACGGGGATTCACCATATTGGCTAGGCTGGTCTCGAACTGCTGACCTCAAGATCCTCCCACCTCAGCCTCCCAAAGTGCTGGGATTACAGGTGTGACGTACTGCACCTGGCTGCCTTTTTTATTTACTTAATGCCCACTGGTCTACTCAAGTTTTTAACGTCTTGCCAATTTGGATTTTAACTTCCTCATTTTCATCTG